TGTGTCCCCGTCGCTAGATTACCTCCTTCACTTGTACAAACACAGGTTACTTTTAAGCATTTTTTATTAATAAGCGCAAAAAGCCTAATAGTTTGGGGTACGTGTTATCGATCTTGCGGTCGACGGTTCGAATCCCACCATTCGACTATTGCAGTGAACCATATCCTAGCACAAGCCTAAACCTTAATTGGAATGGTTAAAGGAAATATTAGTAAATTAACAAAAATCTACTATTTTTGTAAATTAAAAAAAATTCTGCGTGATCTGCCCACTTTTATAATCAATCGTTAATTATCCACTAAGATATAAGTGTGGACGAAGTGTGCATCTCCATTGATTAATTTTATATCGCGTAAAATTAGAAGTTAAACTCTCAAGTAACGCAAGTTACATGTCAGTGAGCTCTTCTAACTTAAGACGTCATACTAAGTTACTAAGTAAATATATAAACATTTTTCTTCCATCGTAAATAATTATCTATTGACTCATCCCGTGACGGTGCGCACGCGTCAGAACAACAATAAAACATTTCCACAACAATAGGCGGCATTCATTAACTTCGACATGTATGGACGAAGGAATCATTTACATACACAAGACCATATAATTTTGTTGATAATGCACCACTTAGATAGTGCGGAGGTGTTTTGTTTTCCTCAAATCTTCAATTCATTGCCATCGCCTGCTATTGTCCAAGGAGGCCACTGATTTGAGGATACCCAATATTTGTGTAATATCTATTTAACCATTTTAAGAAGTAAAACAATAATAATGCAGGTTTAGTTCTAGAAATGGGTCTCTCAGGGCACTACCTTGTGACCATTTTTTTAATATACTAGCTGTTGCTCACAACTTCGTCCACGTTAAAAAATATAGCCGATGTTAGCGAAAACATAGCCTTTTAATGGTGTATTTTTGAAATCGGCCCAGTAGTTTTTGAGTTAATTCAATACATACAAAAATACAAATCTTTCCTCTTTATAATATTAGTATAGAGCTATTTAACCATAGTAAGGCGTAAAAATAATAATGCCAGTTTAGTTCTAGAAATGGATCTCTCAAGGCACTACGTTAGGACCAATATTATAAAATATTTATTATGTTTCATATAAATCAAATAACTCAAGGTAAATAATTTAATATACGAAATGTCAAAGTAATTACGAAGACGATGTAGGCAATTACGAGATATGATAAACTGTGAACACGTAATTATATCTGAAAACTAAAGTGGTCAAGTGCTCTAGACATATTTCGTCATCTAGGTTTTATAAACTGCTAAATAATTAAGCCAATATTATCATACTATAGTTTGTCTAAGTAAGATAGATTAGTTTGATAAATGACGCATATGAAGTATCGAATTAACTTTGTATGAACACAAACACTGTACTTAATAGACAGGTATCGTAGTGTCGAAACAAACAAGACGACGATCGACGATTGTCGATTGTTAATCATCGCATATAATTTTTTTAGTTAATATCGTTTACTTAAATAGACTTTCATAATATTTACGGGCTGTAAAATATGTGATGGAAATATTTTTTTTATAATATAAGGTGGCAAACGAGCAAGCGGCCACCTGTATCCACCGAAGTGGAAAGCAACCGCTGCCCATAAACATCCGCAATTGCAGATGCGTTGCCTACTCTTCATTGACGGAGGAGGAGACGCACATAAAAGAACATTTCGCTTTCATATGCATCTCCTCTACCGTGAAATCCACTTTTCCTTTCCATCCTTTCCTAAAAGATTCATCAGACGAAACGCGGAATTAACTTCCACTTCACGCCTATTTTCTGTTTGGTCGTGGTATTACACCGGGCGAGCCGGCCCATTCGTGCGAAGATGTTAAAGCGGGCTCTACCACTGTTGATATCGGATTTTGTTACCTTATCTGACAGTAATGTCATTTTAAGTTATCTGAGCCTGTATCAGCGAGTGTCGGGACAGTCCTTAGATGCATATTTAACCTATTCCAATTAGTAACATGAATGTGTTCCGCATCTATCAATCAGAATAGACACAATGATATTATGATTGCAAGTAATGTTGTTAACTACACGTATGTTTGTTTGTAATGTAATGCAATACAAAATATGTACTGTAACAAACAGATGACGATCTTCTGATTAACACAGATGTTTTTCAATCAGGAAACGTGAGACGGAAATTAATGAACATGCGAAGTCGGGACGCATAACTTTACTTTAGATAGATCGCGTGTATTTACATCACTAATCTTACTAATATTATAAATACGAAAGTTTAGATGTATGGATGTTAGTTAGAGTTTGTAGCCTAAACTGCTGAACGAATCGCGACGTAATTTGTCACAGATGTATAGTATAGTTTGGAAGACCACATAGGCTACTTATTTCGTTTTTTTTTTATTCCACGCAAACGGAGTCGCGGGCAAAAGCTAGTGTCAAATAAAATCTATCTAAATATGAAAAATTAATTCATGCAGCGTTTTCATCGCTTCTTAAATGATTAAATAAAAAACCTGACCAGTTAGAAGTAAGGGAGCATCACTATTATTAAAACATTTCTCTATTCCACTTGTACTCGATATGCAATCTGAATCATTTTTCATTTTGAAATCAACAAGTCAGTATGTAAAATAGGAGCACGATTGTTGACAGTAAATATATTCGTAGATTCAACTTGTCTTTGATAAAATTAGTGGCTGTATTTCACTCAGATAAACCATAAACAAGACATCTTCCTACGCTAGTTGTACGTGACAAGTGTAGTGATGTGCGGTATCTCGAATCGCACATTTTATCGGTTTTTAACGTAAACTCTGCTGTTTTCTATTAAGTGTTGTTCAATTGTTAAACAATTGTTAACTGAACGAAGGTAAAAAATACGTATAATATTTGGTATGTTTCAAAATTATTGACTTTTTCTCAATTTATCTTAATTCATTTATTGATGCATTCAAATTAAATGAATCAGTGATTTAACTTTAAATGTCCTTGTGCTCTTTTTTTAACTACGATCTCAAACATTTTTTTTATGAACCATGAAATGCCGGAACGAAGTCGCGATTCTTTTTACGTACGTATCTTTTTTAAATGCAAACATGTTGCGGTAACAGACTTTAATTGATGATATCTATTAAACAAACTTTTCGCAGTCATTTTGCCAAAAAGACTGTAGATAAAACATTCTAATTTTATGTATCACACTTAAAATACCATTTATCTGTCTACTGATATATTTAACGGTTTTTATTTAATAGGGAATTACTTACCTAAGACATCTATTGGGCGTTGGCAGTTACAAATTAAAAAAAAAATTAACGATCTTTTTAATAGATAAGGCGTTATTGTAGTCAAATTATACCCGATATGTTAAAAAATAACATATTTTAAATGTCAAATTATCATTCTCGTAGTTCAGTCGCTGTGTTTAGAAAGGCAAAGGCATTTTGTACATACAGCCACTTCTGTCATTTGCCATAGAGAGCGTGTATAGTCCAGTTGAACAATAGACAAAAGACATCATTTGCAATGTAATCGTGCGTTCGGAATCGTGACCAGGGCTGTATGATCGTAATAACATGTCCCGTAACGTTCGTTCGTAAACCTAAATAGATGACCCGAATACTGCTGCAGTCGAGCTTATTATAAATCGCTGGAGAGTGCCCTGCTTGTCTAGAATGTCACAATGGAGTTTATGCGGCCTTGGTATTACTGGCCGGTAACATTCCACGCACAACTATTGTACAGATTATAAACATTCATTGCACAATACAGATTACAAAATTTTGTGTTAAAAAAATCATTAAGTAACGATTTTTAGGTACTTTACAATTATCAAACTAAACATATTTTTACAATCAAAAATCTTTTAATTATCTCACTTACAACAAAATTAAAGTAATAAATAAGCTGTGGATATCAACAACGAGTATTCATTCGTATTATAATTCTATCGACAATCTCCTTTATTATGTTAGCCAACAATTGGCACGTTCAGTGTCAATAGTAACGATATTAAACTAATAATGGACGCCATAACCTCTAAATACATGTAAACATTCATGAATCAAGTTTGTTCATCGCTTTACAGCTTTCACGTGCGAACATTTTCGGAAGGGAAATTATAAAATTCATCGAAGAGGCGAGCGATGTCGAGTTTCGATGCCCCACTTTTGACGGGCTTTTTGGCGCGAAGTTTCCCCGTATTCTAAAAACCGGTATTTTATACCGATTATTTTTGGTATTGTTATTTATCGGTAATTAATAATCATTATAATTCCTCCTTAAATTTATTACAACAATAAACTAACAAATTTTATTTTTGCGTGAAGTCTTATTTTAACATTAATAAAAAATCATAGAAATATTTCTTACTAAACAAGAAACTGAATTAAGTTTTTTATTATGGCTTTTTGAATTAAATATACTAAACATAAAGAGAAGAATAAAATTAGCAGATATTAACATTGTCACATTATCAATTTGATATCTATTGGTAATTTTTCAACATAGAAACGTTAAAAAACATCAACTCACAAACGTATCTTAATTACTTTTGGCGCGCATTTCAAAATTGGTACTGCAAGAGAAAGTGCTATTGCTGGTTCACTATTGAACATCTATAAAGAGTAGCCAGCAATGATTTTTTATGAGATAACAAAAATTAACTACACTCAACACTAAACAAAACTACAATCCTGGTCATAAATATTTGGACCAAATAAATATTACTGTAGAAAAAAAAGCAGACTAAGTCAGTATTTCATAGTATTTCGATATGAAACAAAAATTCTTTATATATTTACTAGCTTTCGCCCGCGATTCCGTCCGCGTGGTATGTAAAAAAACAAAAGTAAATAGCCTATGTGTTCTTCCAGACTATGTTCTACATTTGTACCAAATTTCATCAAGATCCGTTCAGCAGTTTAGGCCACAAATAAACAAACATGCATCCAGACTTTCGCATTTATAATTTTAGTAAGATTAATTTTACCTTTTTTTTTACAGAATACTCGATATGATCCACGTGGACGAAACAGATCCAGTCGGAGGTAAGAAACAATTAAATTAATAAATAACATATTTAGTTTTAATTAATTGTTATTCTGTGATTTCAAAGTTGTTAATATGATAATGTAAGAGGGTGTATGATTTCTTGCATTTTATAATATAAGGTGGCAAACGTGTAAGCGGCCACTTGAAACACCGAAATGGAAAGCGACCGCCCATAAACATCCGCAATTACAGATGCGTTGCCTACCCTTGATTGACGGAGGAGGAGACGCACATAAAGAGGACATTTCCCCTTTTTATGGGTCTCCTTCACCGTCAAATCCACTTTTCTTACCCATTCTTTCCTCTAAGAAAAGGCTGGAAAGGGAAAGGGACTAAAATTGGCCCTCCGACACAACAGTCATCAGACGAAACGTTGAATTGCTTCCACGTCACGCCTGTTTTCTGTATGGTCGTGGTATTACATCGGACGAGCCGGCCCATTCGTACGATAATGTTAAAGAGGGCTCTACCAATGTTTAATATAATGTATGCGTCAAGATATAAAATTAATATGACTAAAGTTTTTTGTTTTTAATTTTATTGCATTCATTAATTTTATTGTTTAAAGTTATTGTCTGACGTTTGTTCTTTTATATTGTTTACTTTCAAAGTCGTTCACCTTTTGTTATTTCTTTTATTCGATGTTTTTTCTGTTTAATTCCATTACAGTATAAAATATATTCTTTACCAATTTAGGGCGTTTCATTAATTACAATATAAAGATAAATCGACTGTTCACATGACATTCTTAATTTAAAACCAACTCTATCTATACTAATATTATAAAGAGTAGAGAGAGAGAGAGAGAGAGAGAGAGAGAGAGGAGGAGGAGGAGGAGGAGGAGATTATTCAATGCAAACAAACAAATCTTACTCCGTTAGTTTTAATAACACATTCCGTCTTTAACTAACAGAACACACATTTGACTAGACAATCGCATAACAGTTGTGCGATTGTCGATTGTTTCGAAACCAATTGAACAGTTCAGTTGCACAACTAAAAATCGATTAGTGTGCACCTCATAGGAATCAAAGAGAGACTAAACCGTTGTGCGATAGTTTAGTCAAATTACGTTTAGTTTAGTTTGCTCTTAATAAAACGCTTATAATAATATTAATGACATTTAGAATAACATTTTGTGATTACATTTCCTTTCTACTCTTAGCAAGACTCTCAATACCTACTTTGTGAGGAATGTCGACGTAATGCAGTACTTGCTAAGTACACTCGCATTGCACTTGTGTAAATAATTGATGTCGTCATCAATTTTAATGCAGTAATTTCGCTATTATTTTTACGTACATGTCTGTTTAATTTACTATTATTAAAGCTTTTTATTCATTAAGGGGCTTGGAGCCTACCCTAGTTAGGAGTGACAAGGATAGTCAACCACGCTAGCCCACTGCGGGTTGACTTCACACACATCTTTGAATATTCTGTACTCCTTTTTTTCTCGTTTATTTCAAATCGTCATCTCGATCAAGTTCTCGTGAACGTTTAATTAAATCGCTGACAAATAACACGTGGCCGTACGCGTTTAACGTAGTATTTAATGTTGTACATTTATAATATCCATTTATAGGAACGAATGAATCATTGAACGATTAATCGATGATTGTTGATAAATTCGATACTGATATCGAATGCGTGCGTTGAAATAGATTGTGCGATCGTGAATAAAATAAACAAAAACACATGATTTTTGGCAGAAGAAAGGAATCCGTCTTTATTTTTGACCGGGGAGCGTCGGGTGGTTCAGTTCGGCGACAGCCGCGAGGGTTGCCAGCGTTCGTAAAATTGCCGATTTGTGGGAGAAATTTACAAGAAACAAGGTTAATTAAAGTAGTTTATTAAATCAAAAATAATTATGTTATTAACAAATCGCTCTTAATCAGACGAAAAATAAAATTAATAAATGTAATATTCAATCGCAAAGCCATATTGATTTTAACTGAGCAATTCGCCACGCTACACCTAACTGATTTAATATTTCATATATTATACTAGGTTTATAAGAGAGTCTTTTCCGTAATTTGATTCACAAAATAATTAGATGTGTAAAATCGTATGATTAAAAAAAGTAAAAAGTGCGGCCTTAAAGTAAACGAGGACAGCAAAGAGTGCATCGCCATCTATTAAGATAAACTTTGGCGATGTAGGTTCAAACGACTCCAGCTTTCTCCACATCTGGCAGCACCATTAGCGTAATACGGTCGCGAGAGCTCGATTTTTTCTCCCTTATCTTTTAGTTTATCGTGCAGCGCGATTATAGGTGCGTTCCGAAACCGGTGCCGATCATTACGGATAAGCAATAACGCTTTCGACCTACTTATGAATATAAAACACAACGCCTTATCAGAAACCCGTGTTACCTTACTTTCTTACGGTCTACATGATTTCACTTTTATACGGCGATAAAATATTTTATGGCGACGACAATGGAAATTTATGATTACGTTGTATCTGAGTTGCATATTCACATTAATTAGGACGTGACAATCTCAATGGATAACACATTATGTGGTTTATCTGAAGTGGTGTAACCCAATTTTAGATTTATTTAGGTTACTAGCTCAGTTGTTTTGATGTACCCAACATTATTTTTGCAAGTGGATAATATATACCGTATATACACTAGCTGTTGGTCGTGACTTTGTCCGCGTGTAATTAAAAAAATGTATAGCTATCTTACTCACTGATAACGTAGCTTTTTAACGGTGAAAGAATTTTTATAATCGGTCCTGTAATTTTTGAGTTATTTCAATACATATTAAAATACAAATCATTCTTCTTTATAATATTAATATAGATTATCGACCTTTGAAATGAGAGTGTTGAAATGTTAAAAATTAAAATGTAAACAAAAAGTTATATGGAATCGATAAAAGCATTTTATTTAATTATTTTATAGGAGGTTTGACTTATAATGCTGGCAACCCTAAGTGTCGGGCGATGACAGCGCCGAACGCAACATCATTTGTCACGTCTGATGACGAAATCTCGTTCATACAGATCTAATTTAACAATCTAGACGAGTTTATTATCTATAACAGTTACGTAAACATTTATATTATTAATCACCATAACTTTGTGATTCAGACATCGATAATCTCCAAGGATTGTAATTATTGTTTAGAGAAACCGGTTCTCGGACTTTGAAATAAATTAATTTTCGTCTTAAGATAGTAAATATGACTAAATTATAGTTACAAATAACTAGCTGTTGCACGCGACTTCGACCTCGTGAAATTAATAAATAATGAAAAAGTATAGCCCATGTTGCTCACAGATAAATTACCTTTGTAGCAGTGAAAGAATTTTTAATCGGCCTTGTAGTTTTTGAATTATTTAAATACATACAAAAATACAAATCTTTCCTCTTTATATTAGTATAGATATGGTTTAACTTTAGACGGATTTAGCCAAAAAGTACTAATATTTTAAATTAATTGACATTGTTACTTAAAGTTAGTAAAGTCTTGGTGCTTTCTAATTGCAAAAAAATAACAAACATGTTTTAGAAAGTGTCATTGAACAAGTACTGCGAAATTGGAAAGCGTTTTGACATATCAGTTATGATTTTCAAATAAATATAAAAACAAAAATTAAAATCATACTAACTTTTCACAAGAAATCTATACTGGCTTGTAATAAATCTTACTTACTCTTTGAAGAAAAATAGACAAGAACTTTGTCATAATCTACTACTCGTAGTATTATTGTATTATCTGTGGTCATAAAAAACATCCTATTAAATATTTGATAAAAAAAACTAGTTCATTAAAATATCGTTAACATTTACGATATGCAAATGATAAATAAATGTATTTTTTTAATGTCATTTTATATATTTCTTATATTTCCAACAATTAATATTAGATTAAGAGATACAATTCGATTAGCCCGCGCGACTTTAGTTAGCAACGAGAATTTCTACGATTGGGGCCGTCTTAGGGTAACGACATATTTCTTGTCCATATATTTCCCATAGATACGCGGCTGGAATCACGCTAATAAAAGGAAGGGAACAAGATCTTATTAAAACATTGCATACAATATATATGATTATAATTCTTTAAAATACTTTTGCAATTGTCGATTGTTTCGCAGCCTATTCAACTGTTTAGTTGCACATATGTTAGAAATGTATGAAATAGTAGTGTACTGTGCTTTCCGTACGTAGAATTACGGCAAATGTTGATGAACGATATTTTCTCTTCCAGAGATAGAGCCGCCCTTCCCCTGTCGCGATGTCACCATCAAACGCGGCACGGATGTCAACGACTTTTTCGAAATGCTGTCGGAGATCGGTCGGTGAGTCATATCACGAAAGCACGTAATTTTTCGTCATACAACTGCATACAAGTCATTCGAGGTTTTACCGACTTTAACATCAAATAAATTACAAAATGATTTACATCATCTTGTGGTTATAACATGTTATGTGTGTAATATAGTTTGTCACCTTTTATGGAAGTGCACAACCTATTAAAATATGAATATCGTATTACAGTTGAAGTGTAATATTGTTTAACTTTTTAAACAAATTAGAGATAGAAAAAGCATAATAAGCAAAAAGACAAATGAAAATTAAGAAAATTCAGTCGCCTTAATGCGTTGCTAACTGTGGTATTATGGACACTTATGGACTTTTTGAAATACGGTAATAACTATATTCCTTTGCAGAGGCAAGTTCGGCACAGTATACTTATGCCGTGAGAAGAGCACCGGTCTGGAGTTAGCTGCAAAACTGGTGTCTGTCAGTAGACGGGACGAGCGGCGAAATGTTGAACGCGAGGTGGACGTGATGCGACGGCTTAGACACCCTCGTCTTATTCAACTTTACGACGCTTATGATTGGGGCAAATACATGTGCGTCGTACTTGAACTGTAAGTACTTTTAAACTGTCATTTGATTTTAATCAAATCAGCGCTTGATTAATATTATATCTGATGACAAGTAAGGTCGATAGCGTGGTAAATGTACGGATATGGTTGATTTGCTAGAAATTGTCAAGCGAGAAACTAACAAGGAATAGGTACGTGTTATTTTAAATCATAAACACCTCTTGCTGCGACAAATTAAAATAAGTACTAGTATTATTTAAAAAAAGAATTTGGCATCATTTGTAAAAGATCTGAAATAGTATTATCAAGATAAAAAACGTATTGAAACATCCGGCATATGGCGTGAGTGACAAAGTTTCTTTTAACATACGAGTCACTTTTATTTCAAAGCGTAATGTAATTTTAGATTCAAAATTCACTCATGTATTCTAATATCTCAAATAAAATAATATTTATTTTTGCACATGTTTTCTTGGATAATTCCGCGTTTTTAGCTGGCAACTTTTTATAAATAACTATCTGCTGCTCGTGACTTCGTCTGCAGTAAATTTTTAAATAATAAAAGTATTCACTGATAGTGTAACGTTATAATAATGTAAGAATTTAAATCAGTCCAGTAGTTTTTGAGTTATTTCATTACATTAAAAATCCAAAAAAACAATTTTTTTCTTTTATAATATAAGTATAGATAGATCTAATAAAGGGTAAATGAAATTATGATAATCGTTATGACAGAAGTAAGTTAAAAATTTCGGATTGTGTGAAAGATGACAACGACGTAAATGTGGCTAAGACGATACTTGCCATTAATGACTATCGGTCCATACCCCAAACCATTAGGCTATTGGCGCTTAATCTTAAGTTTAATCTACCGCCGAAACACTTGAACAAAATCTCTATTTTTCTGTCTGCTTTTTTAGTAATGTTTAGTCGATGGACATTCATGGTTAATCAAAAGTAATTACAATTATAAAATCATTTTAATTATCATTACGCGTTGACAAATGTTTATTGCCAGTAACGAAATCTCTATTTTTATATCTGTCTTTTAGTTTTTCAGCATTAGACATTAACAGCTAATTAAAAGTAATTAAAAACGAATGTAATAAAAGTAATTTTGATTGTCATTCGTTATCTTGTAACGTTACGTATCGTTGACAAATGTTTTGCCAGCCAGTATTTATTTTAGTAATAATATTTCAATAATAGCGCGGATATTTCCTGCATCACCTGCCCTACGCTCGCTGCATCTATATCGGTATTCATTCAAACGTTGACTCATAGGTCAGTCTCGCGAATGAGGCTTTGGACTAACTTTTGTTTTTCGTATCAGGAATTTTGTGACTAATTCTTTATGGTTACGGAATTCATTAGTCCTTTTTTTAACAACTTTGAGGTTATGATTGTAATTTATAATTAGGATGAGTTATTTCTAATAACAATATAACTAGAAGATTAATTTAAAACTTACTAATGTTATAATTGTGAATGGATGGATGTTTGTTAGATTTTGTATCCGAAATAATCTCGATAAAATTTAGCATAGATGTAGAGCATAATGTAGCAGAACACATAGGCTACTTGCCTTTGGTTTTATTAATACAATGCAAACGGAATTGCGGGCGAAAGCTAGTTGATTATAATTGTAACTATCATAGAAAAAGATTTGAATTCACATTTATCAGAACAAGATATTCAGACAGATATCTGTAACAGTCGTGGTAGAGAAATCAAAGAATAAAAATTTAAAACGATATCCTCGCTTCATTTTATTATCTGTATCAATTAATAAAATGTTTTTTATCAATCGAATTGTAATAGTATTGGGTTTATCTTGATGTAGGTTAAGGTTAAAACACGTACGCGATTCGCGGACCATAAAACTTTCAGTATCCGCTGCAAGTAAACACGATCCCAAATGTTTTTCTTGTGACGTAATCGACGTAAAATCTTCGCAGACATTCTTCACTTTATTCAGGTAAAATACATTTAAAAGTAAATTGTGAATATGTAATTTACAACCTTCCACTTTTAGATAACCTAAAGAAAATATCAAAGAAATCTTGTATGCTATCTTACTTCTATTGTCTTATTAATGTTATAAATGCGAAAGTTTACATCGATGTTTGTGCATCTCTATAATAACTCAACCGATCTCGCTGAAAATTGGCAAAGATTTGAAATGAAGTATATAACACATCCCTATTAAACTTGTATAGATTTGGTAAACAAAACAGAGTCATTTCACAACAGACGTAGTACAGCACTAGTTTAACGCTACTGCCCTGGGCGAGGTTTTTATGTTACCCACTTTTTCCCGCCCCTTTTAACTCCTTTTTACTTTATGGTTTAGAGGGGACATATTTAACAGGCTTAAATAAGACTGTTTGTTAATTTTGGTGCCCTTTTCTGTCCAACACCTGGGCCGACGGCTGGCTCTTGCAGTTATATACTATTATAACTAATCTTGTAGGTAAATGAAAATCTATCCTGCGAGGTGAGGCGTAAAAGGTCAAATCGCGGTTTAATAAGCAGTTTAGTTAACAATAAAAGAATGCAGTTATTGTCTAAAATGTGAAAGTTTATGACTCAGACGTACGAGAGGTTGTAAAAAATCGCAAATAAACCGTAAAGTCGCATCGGACAGTACTGTTATTCACATGTGAAATTATTTCTTCATCGGTTTTCGGTTAGCGGTAAACTAAGTAACTGTTAACCGCGTTAGTTATATTCCATTCTTTACATTTATCTGGTGGATAAAATTTAAAATGAATAACAATGGAAATGCAATAAGAAAGTAGGATGAGAAGTTGCATTAATCTTTTAAGGATTTCAATCTGGATGAAAAATCTTAATTAACATATTAGAGAAAGCTTTTTGTATTCCCCTACAAAAAAAGTAAAATCTCTGAACATTTTGCAGGTTAAATTACTAGCTATAGAATCTCTTATTGATTTCTTATAAGAAAACTACTGCATTGCATTAACAAAAAAAACTTTTTCGATATTATTAATACGATTTAGTAGATTCCTTGACTTCGTCCGCGCACAATAAAAGAAAACTCAGTAATATATGTGTTCTTACATCTGTGACTTTCATCGAGATCCGTTAAGCCTTTTCCCGTTTATAATATTAGTAAGATTATTTATCTGTGACCACACATTAGGTTTTTTCTTCGATGTATTTAACATCCATCGTTCCATTTTCTTTTTTTTTCTTATTATTGTAGTGGCCAGTAACAATAGAAGTTGTTCATATCCATACATATAATAAAATTGGAGTGTGTTAATATCAAAAGAAACCAGATTTCAGGGAGATGATGTATTTGGGTTGCTGATAGCTAAGATCGCATTTAAAAAAATTTGTCTGCCTTTCTGTCCGCAAGCCGTGTTTGTTCCGGTTAATCTCCGAAACGGCTGGACTGATTTAGACAGGACTTTCACTGAAGGGTAGTCCACTTAGACGGGCATATTATAGGCTTTTTTATCTTAATATTGCTTGGACGAAGGCGCGGGCAACAGCTAGTTCTAACTATGTGTGGCCAGTATGAACTACAATAGAAGTTCTCAATACGAAAAGAAACCGTTACCACGGTAATTGTATGGAATGCATTTATACCTCCTACTCGTTAATAATATTTGGATATTTCCTTGACACGACTGTTATATGGAAATTTTATCTTCCATTAAATTGGCTTTTATGTTAATTCTATTATTAAATAAAGTATCACAGGAAGTCTTTAGTATGGACTATTCAATCAAAATTTTTAGTCACGGGATTTTCATTGAGTTATTTTTAGAATTTGGTTTATTTAATATTGCGATTTAATTATTTGCTACTGCGGTTAAGCGAAAAACTAACACTTTAAATACTATCGGCTCGTGTGGAATGTTCTTTTCATACCAAAAATTGCAATGGCATGCAAAATATTGAATACTAGCTTTTGCCCACAACTCGTAAGCCTATGTGTTCTTCCAGACTATCCTCTACATCAATGCCAAATTCGTTGAGATTCGTTTAACCGTTTACGCAAACTCTAACAAACATCCATGCATCTAAACTTTCGCACTCATATTAGTAAGATTGTAAAATAAAACAAAAGAGGAAAATATAGTAATTGATTAATGTTTACGGAATTAAAGCACTGAATCATTTGGCAATGATTTCTGCGAACGTTCCGAATAGATTTGCGCGATAATTCGATTTGATAATCACGTGCACAAACTATCGCACAACTGTTTACTCTCGCTTTGATTCCTATGAACTTATATGCAGGTGCGCACACTACTCGATTTTTAGTTGTGCAACTAAACAGTTGAATTAGCTGCGAAACAATCGACAATCGCACAACAGTTTCGCGACAGTAATCAAAAGTGTGCACCAGCTCTTAGTGTGTTGTCATTAACAACGTGTTTTCTAATATCTATTACACTCTCAAAAAAACTACTAGATGAAGCTGTTAATTTTTATATAATGCGTTTTACTAGATTAAAATTAATTCCGGGATCATTGTTATTAAATCGTTTGCAAGCTATAGTTAGTATAGAGTCAGTACAGTATTTGAGTTAAGAAAATATGTCGATTAAAATGCAATATGCAAATAGTGTCAAATTTGTACAAAGACTGCTTTCAGATCTAAGTATCTTACTAATCCTATTAAACTCGAAATTCAAGTGGCTCCTTAAATGGCGACAGACATACAGTCGCATTAAGAGTGTTTTATAAAACTGGCGTCAGGAGCGTCAGATATTACGGCGCGCATAGTTGGCGCGATGCCATCTTGCACGCCATCTTTTATGCCCGATAGGGTTGCCAAATGTATTTAATTTTAAAAGACTGAAGCTTTATGACTGATATATTTACTTAACTAATAATACAAAGCATAATAATTTTGCCACTCAATTTTAGAACAATTTAAAATAACCGTTAAAACACACCGGTATGTATACCGCTAGAAGCTCTTCGTGTATGAAAGGTCGTTTTCACCAAAGCACAGAATAATGGATTGAGATATTGAGAATTGATTGACCAAGCTGCTTTTTGCAATTTTATTGTCACCCTATCCTATACAAAATTATTGCCAGTTAATTACTTATGTTAAACTAAATATAGTAATGTAGTACTTGGCCAATTTTGTTATTCAATTTATAATTACTGTACTTATCCAAAATTATTCATTGCGTAATTAATTTAACGTTTGTATTCGATATTAGAAATTAAGATTTTGAATTAAGAATCTCTTCCTTTTTTATCCTCTCTTTATAATCTGTAATTTATTTGCAAACTATCAAATACAGACACTAAAATTATGCTTTAGTACCAACATAATAAAATTAGTGGCGATCATAACCTTTCTTACCACTTGCAACTTAATAGCTTCAAAAATAATCGTTGTCTACATACACAATGAACGTGTAACTACAAACATCTGTGATTTGGCAGCGTATAATTTAATGTCTCTATTTTTGTCCTACACAAAGATAAAAGAATTTAATTTCTATTCAACATTATGAGTTTTTACTTCTGAAATAATATAAAACATTATGTCAATTTAATAAACATGCTGTTCCCGTGCGGCTTCATCCGCATAAAACTATAAAAACTTTATTTTATCCTTTACATATGTCAAATTTTCAATTGCAAATGTCAAAATTACCGTTACCATAATAATCTTGCTTCCTTAATGTTGGCAGCTTGTAGTTTATGGTATCTTTCCCACATTAGGTTTTTTATCCAATTTATTTACCCCCTAAGTTTAATAGCATGAAAATATAAAGCCAAAAGTGTGACGTAAGTGCAGGGGGGTTTCAAAAATATGCTGTAATTGCTGACATCTTACGCCAAAAAGATGTATGTGATTACGCTTTATTATATTAGTATAGAGTATAGATAAAGTAAATTCAATCAATTATTAATAAGGGCTTCGACTCGTATTTTTATGCTATCTTTTCCAAACAAATACATGTAAAATCGTGGAAAAATAACATATAAAAATATAGTTTATTCCATGTTTCAAACGTTCAGCTATCCGGGAACTAAAATGCGTAAACACGTAGCTCACGTGCCAATTTTTTACAACACGCTACAAATCTGTTCTAGCTATTTACAAACAGTTTGTACATAGAGGAACGTAAAATATTTTATTATCCAACGTGTTTGTTTTTATTAAAAAATTGCAAAGAATATTATGAATTACTGTATCTTACTGATATAAATGCAAGAGTTTAGATGGATGTTTGTTCGACTTTGTAAAGAAATTTCACATAAATTAAAAGAATAGTCTGGAAGAAGACAGGCTACTTTTGTGTTTTTTAATTCGACGTGAACGGAATCTCGAAGCTACTTACTGTATAATATCAGAAACTGGACAAAATATTTAAATTTTGTTTCCATTACACCCTTATTCGATAAACATAGTAACGTTAATTCCAATGGCGGACATTACGCTAATTCATTTAATACCAACTTTTGAAAAAAAAAATGTAAAATATGAACTTGATATAATAAATGTCTATACGTAATAAGGCTTTCGAACTCAAGAGTTTTAGCAAAAAATCTAGAGGCATCTGTCTACGAAAATTATTCGGGTTAGAATGCAAATGCAATAAAGACGCAATAACCAGTCCTACGGTGCTGAACGCTACGTGTTACGTTTGACGTACGTTAAAGTAACCATACGTTTAAACGTTTATCTATCAATGAAATAAATAAAGCCCGCAATTTTCGTTATAATCCGGTATATGACGTCACTATACAAAAATAACGTCCGCTGATGACGCGCAAAAGATCCATTCATTCGTTCTGAAACTATATTTAGAAAACATGACGCTCACAGACTTTGAAAAAATAAACAAGTACAAAGAACAGTTGTTTTGGTTGCCATATGAATACTGTAATTATATTAGGTACTTACAAAGTTTTTTAACATTATATACTTTAAATGATTGCGTTTTAAAAAACATCACATCTTTGGAATTGTGATAGTTGGAAAATTAAGAAATAAATACAATTCAAATTGAATCTCCTTTAAATTAATGATAAAAAGGAGTATTTTAAATAGATATCAATGGTCAATTAACAGGTTTTAATTATTTAAACAAGTGTAAAGCTGAATTTCAAGTATAAAGATGAACTCGAGTGCGTAAAACGGAACGTGTTGAATCCTCGATTTAGTCCAATACCAACATCTCTGCTAACTTCGCATCCGCAGAATTCTGAAACGTTGTTTCCAATTGCATTATCGACATTTTTATAACACGTAAATAATGGTTAATTACTACGTTCCATCTTTTGTGTTCTTGCGAATTTTGTGCAAAATATCGGCCAAGGTTGTTAATATAGTCACCGGACACCGAATGACTTTAACGATTCTTGAATGAAAATAACCGAACGTGGCTGGCAAGATACAAACAGCGGATTCCGCGAAAATTAATCTTGTGACTGCATTGTGCCGGATTCCAATTCTTGCGTCTAGTGCCAATGATAATTTGACATGTCATTTTGAGACAATTTAGAAATAGATGGGGCTATAACGCGGGCAGAATTGAGATGTTACGAGGCCCAACTTTGATTCCTTTTACGAATCACCCTTTTCTTATGAGAAAGAATGGGAAGGGTAAGTGGATTTGACGGCGGAGGAGACGCATAGGAAGGGGAAATATTCTCTTTATGTGCGTCTCCTCCTCCGTTGATTAAGGGTAGGCAACACATCCGCTATTGCGAATGTTTATGGGCAGTCGCTTCGCCATTTTGGCAATTTCAGGTGGCCGCTTGCTCGTTTGCCACCTTATATAATAAAAAAGACACTGCTATCAGTTAGTTGTGTGAGAAAATATATAATAATGCAATAATATACAAGTACATAGACGTAAAAGGGGGATAGTACCCGATTTAAGGTATATTGCGATTACCGCCCAGGGCGTTGCACAGAAAAGGGCGCAGTAGAAATCTCGCCCAGGGCACTGGTAGCGTTAAAACCGGCACTAAGAACGCTATAGCCATCCCATTCCCTTAAAAAATAGATGTTATGTTGTACGGAGCAATGGAAATCTATTAAAAGAAGAAAGTTTTGTTTTTCGTATTTGTGAACATCTCTTCTTGATTATATTTACCTTAGACATACCAATAGCATACATTATTAATATAAACAATGTAAGAATTCACAACATTTCTGTTACGTCAATAAAATGTAGATTAAAAATCTACAGAGGAAATAAGAACAATAAATTCTTTTAACATTTTATAAGATTTGCTTTTAATAAACACAGTTTATTGAATTCAGCCAGTGTCTCAGTTACAATAAACATTCACTTTCATCATATTACTCATATTTTCCCAGTACGAAACAAAATTGAATTCGTTACTATTAATCTCTAAACATTTCTTTAGTGTAAGCGAGATAGCAATATAAAGGAAGTATGACAACGACCTTGTAGACAACCTCGCTAATATTTATCCATCTATTTTGGCGCCAACTACGCGAACAGGGATACCAACACGTCAGGATTACGTTTGGCGTTTGTTTTAAATTAAAAAGGTATTTTGGCAACTTAATGAACTCTTCGCGGTATTTGGGCGTTTTTTCTGGAGACACGTCGACGCCTAATTGACAGCTTTCATTGGATATAATTAGAGTGTTAATGAAACACGCCACAACATGTAATACGTGAAAATGCTCGTAACACGTGCATAATGCTACGCAACAATGTTTTGACTCAAAATTCGCATTGTACCGTATAGATTATTTTAATTAAAATGCGTTCTTAATATATTAAATAATGAATATTTATAGACACGATAATATCCACTGTGATCTAAACGTATCTGTTTAAAAAAAAAAAGAGGAAAGAATGTTTTTACAACACTGATTTGACATGGACAGGCCGAAAGCCGTGAAATGAGCTCTTCGATGTTCGCCATTTTAATGTTGACGATTGCGACTGATAACGGTCTGTGTAGATTCTAAGTAAAAATAAATTAACTGTCAGGAATATCTAAGCAATGCAGAACCTATCCATTTATCTCTATCAGTGTTTGGCATTGATCAGAATTCTTATTCAAAACTCATATTACCGTTTGTATAGAATGAGATGTAATTCCACTTGTAGTATCAGTCAGTCAAATTTACTGGTTTAAATTAATAATAGATTATAGAGAGATTATATTGGATTGTACTTGGGTTCCAGGATAACCGGTGGGGAGCTATTCGAGCGCGTCATCGACGAAGATTTCGTGCTAACGGAACGCGCCTGCACCGTCTTTATGCGGCAGATCTGCGAAGGAATTGAATTCGTCCACAGACAAAATATACTCCATCTCGATATGAAGGTACACTAGAGTATTGTTAATTAAAAAAAAGCTATCCTTAATTATTTCAATCTATGGATAGAATTAACGAGGTGTTGCTTTCCAATCTATAAATAACACCTTATTAATCAATTTCAACGCCAATAATTTATTGAGAGTTATAAATTTTTCAACAACGAACACGCTTCCATTACATAAACATGCTATAAATTTCTCCTAATCAAAATTACAATGTCGTTTCGATCTCCCACGTCCGCATCTTGGTAACACTCCAAACCGTAAATCGTTATGGCGGAAAAACGCGCGGGAGTTTTATGATTTGTCCGCCATGATTGCTTCTATAGCGCGCTTTTATTTCTGTCAACCGCCATTTAAAAAAATTCCACAATTTTTTTCTTAATTTTACTACCGGCCAGTACGAAATGACGTTACTGAGATTAAAAATTGCCAAAATGATTTTCAAGTCGCGAAAGTTCAAAGCTAATTTAAAAGATTTTTTATTTATCTCATTCATAATTTTTAATTCCAGCCAGAAAACATCTTGTGTCTGACAAAGTCTGGGAATAGAATAAAGATTATCGACTTCGGATTAGCGAGGTTCTACGACCCTGAGAAGAAACTGCAAGTTTTGTTTGGGACGCCGGAGTTTGTGGCTCCTGAGGTTGTGAACTTTGATCAAATCGGTTACGGCACTGATATGTGGTCGATTGGCGTTATTTGTTACGTGCTGTAAGTATTTTTTTTTTTTAAATAATTATTTTTTTCTATATCTGTACTAATATTATAACGAGGAAAGATTTGTATTTTTGTATTTACTTAAATAACTCAAAAACTTCTGGGCCTATTTCATTTTTTTACTATTAAAAAGCTACGTTATCTGTGAGTAATATAGGCTATATTTTTTTCACGCGTGCTACAGCTAGTATATGATACAAGCTAAAGCATTGCCTACTTTTGGGCAAGAGAGAAGATGTAGAGAAAAATATTAACCTTTTTACCAAATTTACTTACCCTTCATCTTAGGAGTAAATGTGTAAATATAATTAAGTTATCTACAATAGTTTTTACTTTAAAGCACTGTTCTTTCATTACAGATTATCGGGCTTGTCACCTTTTATGGGAGAGACAGATATAGAGACAATGGCAAATGTTACCGTTGCGAAGTATGACTTCGACGACGAAGCGTTTAACGAAATTTCTGATGACGCAAAGGACTTCATACAGAAACTGCTCGTCAAGGACAAAGAGTAAGTAACTAATACTACGGTTATGTGTGGACGCCATTTTGTCAAACGCCGTTTTAACCTTAAAGATGTCAGAAACAAAATGGCGGCTACATTATAAAAAGTAGATTTGATTTGTGTGATTTTTTGTGTGAATAAATCCCATATTTAGATGTGTTTTTAGTGCTTGAGTGTCACATTATTTTAAATTGAAAATCATAATAAATTTACGGATTGTTGGAATAGAAATTCATAAATCTATTCACAAAGATAAGTTTTCTTAGTATTTTAAAAGCTGCGTTATAAGTCAGCCTGGATAAAGACCCTTTGTTACTGGTGTTTAATTTATTCTTCATCCAACACAAGTCCCATCACTAACAGATTATCGTAATCACAGTTTTATTCGCCTCATAACATAAGTAGATTTTAGAACCCTTAGATGAATTATCTAACAATTATTTTATAGACTTAGTATAGAACTTTACAACTAAATATTTGTAGAATTAAAATTAAGCTACCATTACCCATCAATTCCACGTCCATATGAATCCATAATGTGCACTCACTTCCTGGAACCTAATTCCCGCTGCACTCATAAGGTGTTGGGTCATAGTAACAAGGGTCTTTGTCGCAGGTCGCGGCCGAGCGCCACCGAGTGCTTGCGTCACCGTTGGCTCCTCAAACGCTCCCAAGTGAAGAAAGACAAACCCAGACCACAAACATCGCCAAAACACGAACTAGACGTCGCCAAAGACAACCTGCGTCTCTTCGTTGAAAGATGGAGCGAACATCCAAACTCACCTTACGTCTTCGATAATCAAGCTCACGAAATCATCTGCCTAGTTAATGGAAATTGTGAGAGATCCTCTATCGGAGGCTGCTCACCATCGCCTAGAAGTTCCCTCAGCAGTTCCCCTGATATAATCTTCGATGAAGACGATCTTGAACCCCCGCCATTACGAGATCCAACGCCACTCGCACAAAGATATAACCCAGTCGAAAGACGTGCGTCTGACAGCAGTTGCTTCTTACATAAAAAACACGATGTATTAGTAAGAAAGAATTTAGCAGAAGAAATAAAGAAATTATCCGACCATTTGTTTATGTTGTCAACTATGAGCACGGATCTCGTTAATAATAATAGCTTCAAAGAGTTCGATAAAAATGCAACTGAATCGAAACCAGGAAATAAAGAAGAAAAGAAATTGAATGGCTTTAAGACGGACTCGAAAGCTTTGTTAAAAAATTTAACAAACGGTGACGCGAATAAAACAGAAAGAAAAGTATTCACATCGAAATCCAGTAATAAGATTAATTCTACTTTCTTGACGGAGAGGGAACAAGAAAAACCGATGACGAGCAAAATGCCTTGGGCGAAAGCGACGAGATCGAAAAGGTTGACGAACTTAAGCAGAGATGTTCCTGACCAGCCGATAGACCGCCGCAGCACATTCTTCGAGGAATTCGACAAAAGACGAGAGATAATTGGAAAACTAGTAAATGGCTCCAGCAATGGGAGACAGTTACCATATAGACGAGGAGATGAGAATAACGCTCATAGGACGAAAGACCGTCTATTGCATCTTCTAGAAAAATGGGCGGATACAGAAGTGGAAGGGGAGAGAACAGCGGGGGGTACGTCGAATTGTGGTAGACATCAATCGATATCCCTCGAGTGGTCGCCTTCTAACCAACTAGCCCAGAACTCTATGTCCAGTCTTCACGCTTTTTTTCAAAGACAAACATCAGACGAAAAAAAACAAAGGAAGAAATGACTAGTGAAATAGTATATGTGTAAGAAATTGTATGTATGTATTGCAAACAGGGACTATAGTGCCATGACATTGTGTTGTTCAGAAAGGTCGACTTTGAAACTGGTTTTAACCAGTTCGTGTAAAATCAGTGTTTTGATCAAAAATGAATTTTCAAAAGGATCTCAATTTCTCAATGTTTTATTATTGTAGTCAAGCAACAAGAGTTTTATCCAATATTATAATTTTTAAGACAGTGAGAAAAGCCCAGTTCTATTACAAATTACATTTCATTTTTAGCGCATAAACGGGACAGAGAAATCATATTTCGTATATGGCAACCATTATGCTATTTATTTCATAAAAATTGCGATTAATAAGTGAAATCATCGTGTTAAAGTTTCAGAGTTTTTGCGAAACATTTACGCATTGTGGTGAAGTAATTTCAAATTTCGATAGGATTAAAATATAGTGTTAGTACTCAGATGAAAAAGTACTACGATCTCAAACACAACTCAGTACTAACAGCTGTCAAATTTGATTATTGGTCGACAAAAGTAATCCCTACTCTAAAAATAGCTGTAGATTCTACTTGCTTACGCTTATTTATAAAAAAAAACAACCAGTTCAGAGTTTATCTTTCTGAGTAAATGGTATGCGTGTTACCAAAGTGAGGTTATGAGATTGTATTGATAATAAGTTTTTTTTTTCTTCATAAAAATGACAATGAAATGACAAAAACAGTACGAATCTAGTCTCCGAACACAAATATCTGTGTAACATACGATCGGAAATCAATACAAGACTGAGATGCAATTTCGAAATTGTTTCAGCAACATTGACAATAGATTAATTTTTTGTACTTCTTGTAAATATCTTATACGTCATATAAAATGTAAAAAGTCGGAACCTTACCCGATATTGTCCCGGATTTATTTAATTTTTTAATTTGTTCCTTTTTCCGTACTTAAGCGTAATAAATATAATGTTTTACAATACGTATGTTGTTAAAAATATAAGGCTTTATAAAATACGTTGTTTCATTTTAATTTCTGACATACATAAATAATATTAATTACTAACAATGTAACCTGATTTGTTACACTTTTCCATTAAATCATTTGCACATCACTATTCGTCAAATTTTTTAATTAACCGACAATTTTGACATTTACCTTTGACAGTTCATCTTTGACAGTTTTTTTTATAAAAACAGATCAAAGCACTTTATTTGTGTGACATATTTTTTATAATTAAATAATAATTGTTTTCTTAGCGAGCGTCTGTCATCATCAGCTACACTGAGGCATCCATGGTTGATCCAGTCGGCTCTTTGCACAGAACTGCATGTGACTAAGACGAAACTGAAGAGATACGTCATCAAAAAACGTTGGGCAAAAGCTGTCGCCGCTGTCATCGCTCTGAAGAGAATGGGCGCGAAGTTTGAAGACAACCATGTTGATAAACCAGACGCGTCATCTGCATAATATCTTGAAAGGAATTAATAGTTTGTTCTGTTAGAATTATTTAAATTGATTGCATAAGAAGCTAGACTAGCGTTATTAATGATTAAAAATAACGTGTCTAAAATAATGTTGATATTTATAAGAGAAATTATATTTTTGAGAATTTACATACAAGTACTGTTACTACTGAATAAAGAAAAAAATATAGTCAAAGAATAAAAGATCTGGTATAATATTAAAGACCGAAAATATTTTGTAGCAATTTATGTAAAATTAGATCTCGAACAGGCAGCTGTTTACAATTTTAATTGACTGAAAAAAATATAAATTAGTATACAGATCGAGATATGAATACTTTTAAAGTATTTCTTGAAACATTTGGCTATGGTAATTTATTCTAAGGCAATATTTTTCTAATATCTTAATATTTACTTTTTGTATACGATTTTTAACTTAGATACTTAATTAAAGCTATGAAACAGTAAGTTATAATATTGGATTTTTTCATAGGCTTTCTTAATTTTTTTTTAATAGAAATTTTATCACTAACAACACTTAACTTCTAAAATTATATACATACCTACCTGATTTCCGTTTTTATAATTTATACAATAAAGTGCCAAACTGCAATTATTTAAGCTACATACAATTGTCATTGTTTTTAATCTCACGAAGATCTGCTTTTTTAATTGTTAGTTATTTATAATTTAACTTTTTAATTAACATTATTTTAATAAATTAAAAGACATTAACTGCTAATAATGTTTATGTTTGTTGTGTTAATCGTAGATAGTTAAAAATAGACATTGTAATATAAAGTAACGGTGTCTAATTTTTTGCATTTGCATCCGCATGTTGGTTTATAAAATGTTTGTTGTTAGATAAATTATATTTGCGTGTTATATTGTTATGTAAATGAAGTTTTAACAATGATTGTTTTTGTTATTTACATGAGGCTAAAAATTTTAACCACAATATTGGTAAAATTCATTCCACCCATATAAAATAAACGTGTCGAAATAAGTGAAATTTGAAATTGCATTTATATCCTGTACTTTATTGAGTTTATTAAAAAAAATCACCATTTTTCAGAGTATTTATTTCATATCCTTTACTATACATTTAAAAAGTAATAACAAAAGAAAAATTCCAGATTTCGGGAAGATCATGTATTTGCGTTGTTGATTGAAAATTGCATTTAAAAATTTTATCTGTCGGTCTGTCGCCGGTTAATCTCCGAAACGGCTGGGCCTATTTTGACGAGAGTTTCACTGGACCCTCCAGTTAACATGGATATGCATATTATAGACTATTTTAATTTCGCGCTGTCGAAATGGCTCAAGGGGTGGTCCAAATTTGCGCTAACAAAGTTCGCGGGCTTCAGCTCGCCCTTTATGATATTTAAGGGCAACAGCTTTTATTTCATAAAACTAGAATATTTTGTTCGATACAAGCACTAGCAACACTGCACATTACTGCTTGTCAATGTCAAAACTGTCTTCAATTTACCATTTTCTTTGTGGAAAGTTGAATATTCTTTGGCCTGGTCTTTTCTTGCCAATATTTATAACTTTACTACCTTACACCTTTTACTTAATGTTTGCTCTGAACCCCTTAGAAAGAATGTATAGTGACCCGATTATTAATTTTTGAAATAATCTACTCCCCACATTACTGATAGGTAGCAACCCTATGAAGACCTGGCAGCATTTACATCTAGATTCAATTTCAGTAAACTAGAAACCTACTCAAGGGTTAAAACCCTTATTTTCCACTGTCGTGTGAAGAGCCGATTTAAAAAAAGATAACTAATTCAGAGAAAAATACGTAAGATTTCGATTTTAGTGTATTGGTAACTTTTATTTTTTAGCTATAAAATCTTCGTTGAATTAAGGGTTTTGATAAATAAATAAAAAAACATAGTAGTTTTTAAATTTTAATAAAAACACCAAATGCTATCACAGTGATGGCAACACCAATGTAATAGCAGCTGATGCCAGCTTGTAGATATTAACGGTAAGACTTCTGGTATCTGGCGCGGGCTCCCGGACCACCGAACTTCTTGGGCTCGCAGCGACGAGGGTCTGCGACGAGCAAACTCCTGTCGTATTGGACCAGGATGTCTTTGATTTCCTTCTTTGACGCTTCATCTACATCTGTAATAAGGAAAATAAAAATAAAAACCCATACTGTATTTTTATTGTCAAATTATGATTAAAATTTTAGTTGAATAACAGCCTAATATTGAAACTAATTTTAAACAATTTTGTTTTTCAGCTCCTTTACTCTACAGACATTAGAATTTTAAAGGAATTTGGAGTTTAAGACATAGAAATACTAAAGAACCCTTGGAATAATATTTTATTCTTAATATAATAAATTTTAAGGTCGTTTTCATACATGTTTCTGATGACTTTATATTCTAGTACCTTACACCCGCAACTCTGTCCATGTGGAATTAAAAACAAACAAAAGTAAGTAGCTTGTGTTCAGACTATCCTGTACATCAATGCTAAGTTTCAAAACCATTTAGCAGTTTAGACTACAAACTCTAACAAACATCCATCTATACTTTCACATTTATAATAGTATTGTATCTTTTATGTTTCAAATATAAATATGTGTTAATATAATGTAGTGTACACTTCAAACAAGCAAGACATTGAGGGTACTTGCCGTTTGGTAAATGTCACAGTTTATCTCCTTTCCCTGAAATGACTGACTTGTATGGGAACAAGACAGCTTTGGAAAGAAAGGGTAAGAAATCAATTATGCATTCAAAGCTGAGCATGGACATAATCCGGTCAGCAACACAATACTTATTTTAATCTTTTATTTAATAACATTTTTCCTACGTAATTACTATGTCATGTTTGTTTTTTATTTGTTACTTCTGATTGTATTGTTGATTAATTTTTTTTTTAATTAAATAATCTTAATTTAAAACAAGCAACAAGCCATATGGCTTCATTCGCATAACATTATAGAATCTTTATTTTACCATTTACACTCTGTTAAATTTAAAATAAAAACGTTAAAACCCAAATTAATATAAGCATAGTCTTATAGCTGACAATTTATGTAACCATAGCAACTTTGCTACTATTGGCTTGTAGTTTGTGTCCTTTTCTTGCAAAGCAATACTTTTAATTCACTTAGACCCAAAGTTTTATAGTCTAAAGCATGTTGTTTAATTAAGAGCCTAAAGCTTTATAATAAAATTATAAGTCCTTAAAAATACACTGACATCCTAATTAATGTATTGTGTGTATATTAAGTTTTTATGGCAATAAAAGCCATTATGACAGAAGTATTTATGAATTTCTTTATCATCATTTGAATTTATTGTCTTTATTGCCAAATATAATTTATTTCATAAATTAGGTAAATCAAGGTTCTTACATTTCTGGAAAAAGGCAATGAGTGCCTTTGAGATGGCCTGTCTGATAGCATAGACCTGTGCAACATGACCACCACCCTTCACCGTCACTCTGATGTCAACTCCGGAGAACCTTTCCTGGAATACACAAAATGTTTGTAAAATTGTACAACACAAATGTATTATTTAAAATAATGTTTAATTCAGGTTATATGTTTACTTCACATCCAAAGATGCTCAGTTTCGGAATAAGTATCGTTCATCATAATAATGTTAATAGAAATAAAAACTAATGTTAATTATTAGTAGAAACAATACAAATAATCTACAAGCGAAAATAATCTGAGCAAATTAAAATGTGAAATAAACATGCAATGACATACAATAAATAAAAACAGGTAATAATGTAGTAAAAACAATATTTGTTACATAAACTACTCAAACAAAATATAAAAAACCAGAGCATACTTATTAATAATAATCTATACTATTATAATAAAGTGTAAACACACACTTCTTTGTTGCCTAAGATGTCGCAATTACAACATATTTTTGAAATAATCATCCTTTTAATAAAAAGCCCTATAATTACTTCACACTTTAGGCTATATATTTTCACTCCATTAAAGTTAGAGGTTAAATATTTTGGATAAAAACCTTAATGTTAGAAAGAGACCATAAGTTGCTGCCAACATCAAGAAATCAAGATTGCAAAGTAAGGTAATAGATATTTGCAATTAAGAATGTGACAAATGTAAACAATAAAATAATGTTTTTATAATTCCATGCAGATGAAGCCGCATGGACACAGCTAGTATATTAATATAATTAGTAGAATATAGCAAGCACTTATTAATAATAATGAAGTTAACAAAATGAATATGGAAGTTTATGATTGATTATTGTTATAAAAACAAAAAATAATGCAGGCCACTATTAAATACATGCTAAGGCATACCTTTACTGTCTACAATATAATGAAATCTACAATATATAACATTGACACTAACAAATAGGAACAGTGTTACTATACCTTGCCTAGCAGTAAGATTGGTTCCTGAAGTTTGTATTGAAGCAGTCTTGGTTCCACCAGGTCTAAGGGGCGGCCGTTCACACGTAGGACACCATGTCCACGCTTGCAGTATGCCACTGCAGTTGCGGTTTTCTGTCAAATCAAGAAAACAATAAAATTACTAACATTTATAGGTTATAAGTTTTTTTCAAAAAATAAACGGTAAAAAAAGTATAATTGATTAGATCAAATGGAGCAATCTTTGATTTTGTAGGGTAAAACGATGCATTACATTTGACATGCAAGAATATTTTGGTAATGCATAAAAAATGTAAGGTAGTATGATCGTCTAACTTCTATGAGTTACTTAACCTTTACGACAAAATATAGAAATTACGGAATTATCACATTTATTTTGTATCAAAACAAGATAAAAGTTGGGAATTCGTGTATTACTTTTTCAATTATTCAAGATACAATTGACCGAAATGCTACAAACACGTGGACGCCACAGCAAACACTTACCTTACGGCCGAAAACTTGGACGGCCTGAATAGGTTCACGTCTCGTCTGCAAATATGAAAAAACCGTAAATTTAAAAACATGTTTATCCAATTTTATTGCAAATCACAAAGATTATTGAAAGAATTAATCTCGCGCACCTCTTGCACTGCAGCCATTTTGACAGAGAAAGAATGAAATCGATCATAAACAAAGTCAAAATGGCTGGGCGGGCCGGATAATTCATTGGCAAATGGCAACACTGTTTTAATCAAACATTGACCTCTATAAACAGACAGGCTATAAACCGTAATATTTTATTATTTAATAAAACAGAAAAATCAGTGTTTTAGGCTAATCTACGGAAACCTGAAATTGTAATCATGTAAATTTTTAGAAAAGTGAAAAATTATTTCTATTTATTTTTTGAGAGCTCTTAACAGATGGCGTTGTTAGCTTATTGTTAACCAAAAATACAACGAGATGGCAGTGGTAGTAAGTAAATGTAATGCACATTCCTATCGGTGACTCAGTTTAAGCGTCATGGGGGTTATGGGTACTATCGTGTCGTATCGCATTGTTTTGCTGTTTTGTATTCGTCTGACGTAGTCGCAGTGAAGTCGTGCGGTGGAATGCGCAGAGCATGCGTCTACAATGTACCGCGAAAAAGTTCTCGCGCAAGTTTTCTTTAAAAACTGTGTGAATTTATGTGACAAGATATTTGTGGTTTAATATTTGCGCAACAGACTTATATTGTGTGTGGTATTTTTTGTAATTGGATAATATTAATACAGAAATATACAATTTTGGAGGTAAGTTGGATAAATCTCATTTAATTACCATGTGATATTTAAGTAAGAGTATTACTAGGGGCATAGTATTTATTGTTTAATGTCTTCAAGTTAAGTTAAAAATATTTAAATTATGCATACTTAATGTAACTTGCTTACATCTTATGTTTTTTCTAAGTGCTGCGTCAGAAAATGATTCACATGTAAATGCTACCGACCGAGAAAAATATTTTATTTTACAAATTTTACTTTAATTATCATTATTTTTAAATAAATTGAATTAGAGACTCAAAACTATAGTTATATATTGATTGCTTTGTACATTCGGAAAACTATTTTATATGTGATTTTTCTGTGATATGAAACTTAACGTAGTTTTTACGACCCTTTTATATAGAGTTTAGTAGAAATTTACCGTTGTCAATAAGAAATAATTCTCAGTAGACATGACTAATAGAGTGGAACCCGGTTACTTGCCACAGATAACATACGCTTTGTTAGATACGGCACATATCTTAACATGAAGTGGAATAAATCGATAAAAAACTGAAAAAAAGGGGTTAGTTTTCAATTTTTATTTATGGATGCAGAAATTAAGATATTCCCCACGACGCGTAGTAGATTTTATTGTAGACTAGCTGTCGTCCGAGTCTTTGCCCACGCAATATTAAGATAAATAAAAGTAGCCTATAACATGCCCGTCTATGTCAGCTACCCTTCAGTGAAAATCCTGTCGAAATTGGCAAAGCCGTTTTGAAGATTACCCGGAACAATCTCGACTTGCGGACAGACAGACATTTTTTTTAAAATGCGATTTTCGTTATCAGCAATGCAAATACTGCATCTTCCCGAAATCTGTTCTTTTTATATATTACAGACACTCAAATTTTATTATATGTATAGATTCGATTGATTTGATTTAAATGTATTCTTTAGTTTTGTAAGCGACCGTGTAATCACTGCTTTGTTACACAAAATATTATAATTGAGTTTAATTTTCAAGCTAATGTAATAAATAATAGATTAAAAAGTATTTTAAAGTTGCCATAGATAACAGATTTCTTTTTTATTACGATTCGATCTCTCAAATCTTTTGTTAAACAATTGAAGTGCTCGTCGTGGTTAATTTTGATGGATTTCTGAACTGATTAAAAAACATAAAAGTTGCATGTGTTAGATTTTTATTATATTCTCAAATTTCAATAAATGACTTCGAATGGCATTATAGACAACAACATCAAAAAATATAGAATACGAATGCATTATAAAACTGACGATTCATTTTGGGTTCGAAACTACATCAGATTGGTCGTATCAATACTTTGTCTGTCCTTTAATAGCGTGTTTATTATTTATTTTTTAATTACTTTATTTTTTTTTCTAATTCCTAATTGTGTTATAGTGTTCATAAGATTAAATGTTTTTTTTTTAATCTGAATTTAAATTTAAATCTGAATCTAAATTTTTTTACATATAACTTATCTGTTTCATAATATACTGGCATATTTGTGTCTAGTAAATTACTATCAATTTACAAGATTTCACATTATTAATAGTGAAAGTATGTTAATAATAATAATAAAATTGACATACTATATTAATAAGGTGATAAATATTTATTTTATTACATGCCAATTTATCAGTGTCATAGAAGAAAATTCAGAGTTTTATTTTGCAAAGAAAATACGTCACGAAAAATGTATGCAGTAACTGTTTTCTTTCATATAAATTAAAAATAATTAATCAATAAACGTGCGAATACTTTCTACGGTCTATAACATTTCTTAATTACTTAGAACTACTGGGTAGATTTTTAATTTTTTAAAAAAAGAAATCAAATGACGCGCAATCATTCGAATAAAAAAGAATTATGAAAATCAGACAACCAGTAGCAAAGTTAACAAAAACACATACATTCAAATTAAGAACCTTTTTGAGTCGATTAAAAAACAATGATAAAATAAAATACAGAAACTACAATAGGTATTAAAAGTTAATACAATAAGGAAAATTAAGTATGAATACTAAAAGAACTAGGATATTGTAAAAGGATTAACACGACCTCTTTACAACGTAGCACAGGAAGCCATAGTCGGCCAATGAACGGTGTGGCCGATAAAAGATCGCCGTTGCCTTGCAATTAAAAAATAATCCAAACGTCAAAGATGGCGCGCAATTTGTACTCTACTCTTTGAATAGACAATAATTTAAACATAATCTATGTGGTTTATGACAAACGGGATTAAAAAAAAACTGTATTAACAATTCCTTTCAGAATTAAATCTTACTATTATTATAAATGCGAAAGTTTACGTGGATGGATGTTTGTTAGTTTGTAGCCTAAACTGCTGAACGGATCTCTATAAAATTCGGCATAGACTTAGAGAATAGTCTGGCAGAACTCCTAGGCTATTTACTATTGTTTTTTTTTTAATTCCCCGCGGACGGAGTTGCGTGCGAAAGCTAGTAATATAATCATATCGTGATGCACTTGAATTAATTACATTTAAAATCAATACTTTTTGTTCCATCTATTTCTATACTTTACAATTAATTTTAACTTTAAACTTGATTAGAACAAGTTTTTAATACGATGAACCAGAACACGACCACGTCTTAAGGAATAAGTTTAGATAAGTATCATGATCTACGTGGGAGGTCTGAATACATCTGAAATTACGGACAAACCACATGAACGCATCTACTGTGACAATAAATGTAATGCAATTGAGTTCATTATCATAACTTTGATGTAACTAATCTTTTTACTCCAAGTATTTTTATAGCCTACTAGCTGTTCCCGTGCGGCTTCATCCGCATGTAATTATAAAAATTTTATTTTATTGTTTACATTCGTCAAATTATGAACAACAAATGTCAAAATGACATTCTTCCTTGATGTTGGCAGCAACTTATAGTCTCTTTCCCACGTTAGGGTTTTTATCCAATGTAATTGCTGAGATCTTAGGCAACAAAGAAGTGCGTGTTTACGCTTTTTTATAATAGTATAGATATAGTTTTGTATGTATATCATTCAAATTACTAAACTCTGGAATAAAAGAGCTTTTTAACGCCTTACTTACTAATTATAAATGCGATAGTTTAGATTGATGAATAGATGTTTGTTAGTGTTTGTAGCCTAAACTGCTGAACGGATCTCGATGGAATTTGGCATAGATGTAAAGATAGCCTGGAAGGACGGAGTCGCGAGCGACAGCTAGTAAACTATAATTACGAGTATAGTTAAATAATATAGGTACTATGGTAGTAAAATGACGCAACGATGTGTTCCTAAGGCTTCGTTAATCGTATTAGTTTAATGCTGACATTCTTTATAAAACAACGCCTGTTACCCAGAGGACTAGCGAGAGATAAATATTTAGTTATTTTATTTATTTATTATAAGGTGGCAAACGAGCAAGCGGCCTCCTGAATCCACCGAAATGGAAAGCGACCGCAACCCATCGATATCCGCAATTGCAGATGCGTTACCTACCCTTAATTGACGGAGAAGACGCATATAAAGAGGATATATCCCTTCCACCATCAAATCCACTTTCCCTTCCCATCCTTTCCTATTAAGAAAAGGTTGGAAAGGGAAAGGAACTAAAATTAGTGCGATAAGTTTTTTAAATCCCTCAGACAGTTATGGAGTTATCTTCAAACCGCTACGACTTTAAGACAGCTTTCTTAAGGTCCAGCAACATGTCAACAATTCCTCCAGTATTACATCTTTCCATAGGAGTCGGTGATCTCTTTTTGTTAAAGGTGTTTTGACCCTCTTTCCGTTAATAAAAAAAACTTAGCATACCAACTTCGTCAAACTTACTTTCAGAGAATTATAAGATTCAATCATGGTAGAGTATAATACAAACTTTTTCGGTAAACAAGTTGTAATGTGATTTATTCGCAGTTCACTCCGGGCTAGTACAGTTGGTCAAGCAATCACTAACTGAACTGCCAGTCAACTGACACACTATGAACAAAAACTGGCACGAGTCAGTCTATTTATTCAATGACTGGCCGTCGCACTGTCCAACTGTACTGGCCTAGTGTGAACCGCGCTATAATTTCTTTGCTGTATACGTGACTCATTATAAATCTTGATGGAATGCTCTTATCTAAATTACATTATCTATGTTATGTAACAGTGCTTAACAAAGCTTTGTACTTTCTAAGGTTTTGGAACTAAACAGAATATCTTATCTTCTATATTGTGCTACAATATTACTAGTTCATCATCACCAGCTTTACGTCCCCACTAAGGGGCTCGGAGTCTACTCTAAAGGTGATTAGGCCATAGTCAACCATGCTGGCCAAGTGCGGGTTGAGTTCACGTGTCTTTGAATTTCGTCGCCGAAGTGCACGCATCACGATGTTTTCCTTCACCGTATAAACCAGGTCAATGATTTAATATCGCAAACTTATTGATAAGATAATTCCATAGTATTTTCATTCAGTAATAATATAGTTCTTCCTATTTTCTTTATCAATAACATGTTTTTGAGTGAAAAATCATGTGTTTTCTATATTACTAGCATTCGCACGCGACTCCCTTCGCGTAATATTAAAAAAAACAAAAGCGAATAGCCTATGTGTTCTTCCAGACTATCCTCTACATCTATACTTTTTCTATACTAATTTCATCGAAATCAGTTCATCCGTTTAGGCTACAAACTCTAACAAACATCCATCCATCTAAACATTCGCATTTATAATATTACGAGCTGTTGCCCGCAACTTCGTCCGCGTGGTATTAGAAAACATACTAACTATATAAATTACAAAAAGCTTCGTATCCCTCGGGAACTGGACATTTCTCAGGAATGAAGCTTATCCCATGTGTACTCCAGACTTTGTTTTATATATCTGCCAAATTTCAATAAGATATGTTTAACCGTTGCAGAATAATCGAGTAAACATTAAAAAACTAAATTATTGAATCCCACGGGAACCGTAACTATTCCCAGGATAAAAAGTAGCCTATGTGTTCTTCCAGACTACGCTCTAAACCTGTGCCAAATTTCATGGAGATCCGTTCAGCCGTTTAGACTACAAATGCTAACAAACATCCATCCATCTAAACTTTCGCATTTATAATATTAGTAAGAAGTAAGATTTATGGTTCTTACTTTTAAAATATGAAGAAATATTCCACATACAGCAGTATATTTACTGTAATAATCTATAATAAACCATGAGTAATTATAACCGCGGAGACTGGCAGTATATAACTGGCACATAAATGCCGATTGCTACGAAAACATGTTTGTAAATAGCGGAAAAGATAAATTAATATTTATTTCTGAAATTTTAATAGCCTAAATAAAGTTTTAAGTAAATTTATTTATTTAATTAATGATTTTAAATAAACTGCACATTCAAATTGTCATAACTAAGAATAATTTTTCCAAAGTTAGATGGATTAACCGCTATATGTATAGGTAATCAATTACACCGAAATATTAATTGACTAGCGTCCGCCGAACTACATCGAGATATCTAAAGCAGTTTAGGCGGCAAATTCTAACAAACATTCATCTAAATTTTCGCATTTATAATGTTAGTAAGATTTATTCATACACTAGCTTTAGCTCGCAACTCTGACCGCGTGGAATAAAAAAAATCAAAAGTGAGTAGCCTATGTATTTTTTCAGGACTATCTCTACGACTATGTAGCGTAGCGTACGACGTGAGCGTCAGTGGCTCATTGGCTTAAGCACTTGACTTGTAATCTACAAGTCTTGAGTTCGAATCCCACCGTGTACCAATGTGATTTTCGAATTTTCATATCTACATAATTTACGCGACGTTCTTACGGTGAAGGAAAACATCGTGATGCAACCTGCACATATCTGCGAAGAAATTCAAAGATATGTGTAAAGTCGACCAACCCGCACGGGCCAGCGTAGTTGACTATGGCCTAATCACCCTAATTTAGGGTAGGTTCCGAGCCCCTCGGTGAAGACATATAATGAGCTGGTGATGATGATGATGATATCTACGACTACGCAAAACTTCATCGAGATCCGTTCAGTCGTTTATGTACAAACGCTAATATCTATCCATCCATCTTAAGTTTCTCATTTATAATATTCGATGGAGCACAAATGCCTTATACAAACAGAATTGTGCGACAGACGAACGGATGAACGATATTACATTTCACAAAACAAAAGTTCATATTACAACGATAAGTGCAACGATCATGGTGGTCGTGAACGTATCCGTTCTAGATTGTCCCTTTATTTGCAACTGTTGTCAATGTCACCGAATTCTAAACTAAGGGCCAGTCCCACCACTGGCTGATGCTCAGATAGCTTAAAAATGACGTCACTGTCAGATAAAGTAACAAAATCCGATATTTCCATCACATATTTTACATGTTCGATTGTTATTACACTATTTACAATTTGGTGTGACCGGCCCGTATATCTCTCTATACTATTATAATAAAGCTTAAACACACTTCTTTATTGCCTAAGATGTCAGCAATCATAGCATATTTTCGAATAACTCTTTTTTTAATAAAAAGCCCTACACTTACGTCACGCTTTAAGCTATATATTTTCACGCCGTTAAACTTAGGGGTAAATATTTTGGATAAAAACCCTAATGTGGGAAAGAGTCCATAAGTTGTTGCCATTAAGGAAGCAAGGATGCCATGGCTTGACATCATGTCATATCATTTTGACGTTTGCAATTGATAACTTGATAAATGTGAACAATAAAATGATTTTTTTATAATTGAATGCGTATGAAGTCGCAAGGGAATAGCTAGTCATAATATAAATGCAAAAGTTAAGACGGATGTTTGTTAGAGTTTGCCGCTTAAACTGTTGAACGGATCTCGATGTTTATCATAGATGTAGAGCATAGTCTAGAATGACATAGACTATTTAATTTCGTATTTTTTTCTCTTTAATTCTATCCGGGCGGAGTCACAGGCCAAAACTAGTACACTAACCTTATAAAGAGGGTAATTATTATTTTTGTGTTTAACAAATAAAATCAAAAACTAATGCAAATATTACAAAAAAGGAAGGGTAACTTCCTTCGACCACATCTTCACCTAGGTCTAGGTGGGATAGTGGTCAAGCGCTGGTTTTTGCAATTTAAAAAAAAAAACTTAGGCTGTTTTTAAATATCAAGCAAACGATGTCGCGGTCAAACGCTTGTCTATAATAATATTATAAACATGAAAGATTTGCATTTTTTGTATGTATCGAAATAACTCAAAAACTACTTTCCAAAATCAATTCTTATTTCGCATATTAAAGCTAGTATAATAGTAAATTGTCAGATACAAGAGTATAAAGTGCGTTCGTACTATGAAACTAACTTTAAGAAACACAATCTGTCATGTACGTCGGTTATTGCCCTAAGCTTGTTACAGAAAAAACATGCGCGTGCGCAAGCCAGTTGTAGGAAACTTGCATAGTTAGCTGACGCGTAAATGATGTTTAATTTGACTTCCTTACAAGTGAATTACATTGTGTAAGAAAGTCGACAAAAAGGTGTTTATATCGGAGATGTAAAATAAATTGCCAATCAAATGATTTATTTTACCTCTTGCGATTTATGGTATATTTAATTTATTCTTCACTATTACATAAGTAAATTTTAATTATAGTAATATTTTAATTGAGAAAGTTTAGATGGATGTTCGATAGAGTCTGTAGCCTAAACTGTTGAACGGATCTCGATGAAATTTGGCATAGATGTAGAGGATATTCTGGATGAACATAAAGGCTACTTACTTATGTTTTTTTTTTTAATCCAGGCGGACAAAGTGCCGGCGAAAGTTAGTACTAAATATTGTGTGGAAAGATTTATATTTCTGTATGTATTGAAATAACTCAAAAGCTACTGGACCGATTTTAAAAATACATTCACCATTACAATGCTACGTTATCAGTGAATAACATAGCTGGTTTATATTGTTTTTTTTTATTATTTTACGCGGACTAACCGAGTATCAGTGAGTAGTTATCTTGAGTATCTAGTCACTTGTAAACGTACGATAGAAATTGTATAAAAGTGTTCCGAAAACGTGACATTTTAAAGTCTCGGTGACAAAGGGATGCTACTATACGGTGACCGTATCGACCGTGACTCACACCGACCACTCCTCACTTACTTATATCTGCATACAATGCACACTTCAATCTCAACATTGCCTTAGTCCTGATCATATCTCGTAGAGTCTATGACCTTTTAGAATTAAGTAAATAGATTATATGACATGAAAAGGAGTTGTAATTTTAATTAAATTAGATGTTAAAACTATATTTCGCTTGCGACTCTGTTCGCGTGGGATTTAAAATCACCAAAGTTGCCTATGTGTTCTTCCAGATTATCCTCTACATCTATGACAAATTTCATCAAAATCGATTCAGTTAAGATGCCAAACTATAACAAACATCGATAATCACACCAAACACTTGTTTTCAAAGAGAAGTTTGATTAGATTTTTTATTTTTTCTGCGTAAAAAGACTTGTAAATGCTATCTATCTTTTCTACCAAAGTGATATTGAGATGATTCTTTACCTGTAAAATGTTAATAAATTCAAAATACTGTTTTAAATGACAGTTTGAGATTAAAGTAACAGTCTTCTCTATGTTACATGTGTGTTACGAAGTCATTTCATGTCACAACATAGACTAATGATCGACCGGTTTTTATATGGTATTGCGTTATGTACATATAGTACGTTCCGTTGCATAGATTAGTTCGATATACGCTTACGAAAGGGGTCCACATACATTAAATTATGATTGTCAAATTAAACCACAAACGCACTAGAAACTTGTCATTTTTCGGACTGTGTTAAAGGTGAAATACAAATTCATTCTTCTTATTTTAATTAAAGAATGTATATCGATAAATCCATATTATGTCGATGTTTTCTTCCAACCCTATCGATTTAATCGATGCTTTTCAAGCCGAATGGTCGATCAGTGCTAATGCAAGTCAATCACATATCGATACCGCTGTAAAAACACAAGATTAGTATCCGAACGTATCCTCATAGGGCACAATTAAGCTATTACGAGGCGAATGAATCTTTAATGGATGTCTTGATATGTCGCCATGTGTAATTTTTAGTGGGAATTTCTAGGGATGTGATTTAAACAATGTCGATATATCGCCTGACTTATAGGAGAATGAGATCTGTCCGTCGAGCTTGAAACAGAAGTAATTTTTGCTTTCGGAAAAGTTATTTAAACTTTCAATGTAAAATAGCGTTAGAATTATGTAGTATCATGATTATATGATCAACTTTAATCGATCGGACTATAAAATAAAATGTATAAAGCTATGAAGACTACCATTTAGTTGCATTGAATAGAAGCAGGTCAAGAGAATGGCCGATGTCCTACATAATATATATGGTTGCATTTAGTTTCCGAGTACGCTGCCTTGTCCTAGCCCTAGCCATAAATGTCGATACTATGTCACACGGAAGAGTATTTCTATCGATACGTCAATGTCGAGGTGAACTACCCATGCCTAGTGTGCTAACGCACAAATTGATACCGCTCTTTTAATCGATTACGTAATTTATCAATCAATATATTCAATATCGATTAAAATTAATTATCGACAAACTATGTTAAAGATTGTCTCGAAGAACTCGCTACAATTCATTGAATCCATTTTCTTTGTAAGAATGCAATCCAATACGTTGTTATGCTTTGATGTGTTAATTCATTCCTTTTCTTTTCCAGGTGTCGAGAACATTTTGATTCAGTTTTCGAAGAATTTACAAAGAAGTAAGTAACGTTTTCTATTTTTATAACGTTTTAACGTTGTTCGTATTGGAAATGTGTATTCAGTAAAGACTTTACAAATTGAAATATTTTTATTGCGTTAACGTTCACTAAACTGAGTCAGAAACTAATGAATCTTAAATGAAAGCATAAAGTTATAAAATTTATTATGACTTCGTCTCGTAATTCGTTTCCTACTTGAGAATCAAGAAGTTTGTTTATGCTCTTAAACAAATGCTAAAAACTTGTACATATTTTAAACACCATAGCAATGTTCTCACTAACACTTATCGTGGGAATTTGTTTTGTATTTAGAAAGTGCTTTATCAGTCACTTCTAGAAAGTTCTTGGTGACGTCATAATCCATAAGCTCGACAAGAGAGAAATAAATCAGTTAGTTTCAATTTGCTTTTGTTATTTTGTTTATTTGCGTTTGTAATTATTTGTCCATTTGATACAACAGCTTACTCCAAAAGTAACTTTATTACTCAACACCATCATCATTCTCCTTATCCTACTCCCGTAGGGTCGGCGCAATAGGATTTTGTCCCCGAAATAACTCTATCATACGTCATCTCAGTCATCACTCCCTTTTTGAACATGTCACCTTTCACGCAATACATCCATGTCTTTCTAGGTCTATCTCTGACTTTAATACTCAACTAGGGAAAAATTTACTTAGAGTTTACGTCATGAAAAGTTATAAAATCAATCTTGAATAAAAAAAGGATTTATAATTTCTTTTATAAGATAATACGCTTAATTAAAGCCTTCATGAATTCGCTACTTATAAAAAATCTTTCTCGTTACAAACGAGTTTGTTTTTTCCCTTTTAATTGCTTTTATTCTATCAAACCGTGACTTTGTTGATGGTTCAAGGTTGAAAAATAATAAGGTATCTTGTGCTGAAGATTCACATGAGTTTTTCTTGTATTTATAGTGTTATTATTTTAACTATTTACCACACAATGAAACTATAAAATCGAATCTGTTTTTTATGCATTATTTAACATTTATATCTAGTTGATGTAATTAAAAAGGCTGTTTGTCTCGTTAAATGTACGTATCGTTTTTTCTTTAATTAACCATTTATTGCATTAAAATTACTGTATATTTTGTCAAAAATTACAGCATGTTTTTGAATAATTCTTTTTTTAATAAAAACCCTAATGTGGGAAAGAGACTATAAGTTACTGCCAACATCAAGGAAGCAAGGTTGTCATCATGTCATGTCATTTTAACATGTGAAACTGATAATTTACCAAATGTGAACAATAAAATTTGTAGCCCATACAGCTGTACGGATATCGGTGAAATTTGGCATAGATGTAGAGAATCTGAACACATAGGTTACTTTTTTAACTTCACGTGGATGGAATCGCGGGCATAAGCTAGTCGATAACGACGAAAGTGATTTACATTAGACAAATGAGTCAGAGGTAATCGTATAGTTCCGTAAGATAATTCGAATTCTGAGAACAAGTTCCGACATTCCCCAACTAAGAGTCGAATCTGAGTTTGTGAATGGAGGCACGTCATGGCTGTGAGTCATTGATTTTGTTTTTTTTTTTGCATATTAAAACTTTACTACGTTACGCGCCAATGGAGGAGTGAATCATTATTGATATTTTAAGCTAAAACAGGTTTAAGTTGATAGTGAGGCTTGTACGAAAATAATATTTTTGTAGCTCGGTAACAACAAAAATGATCTATGCATTAACACACTAGCTGTTGCCCGCGAGTTCGTCACGCAATATTGAGTTAAAAACCAGCCTATAATATGCCCGTCTATGTCAGCTACCCTTCAGCGAAAGTCCAGTCGAAAACGGCCCAGCCTTTTCGGAGATTACCCGGAACCAAACGCTTGCGGACAGAGAGACAAAAAAATTTTAAATGCTATTTTCGTTATCAACAAATACATCATCTTCCCAAAATCTGGCATTTTTCTTTTGATATTACAAACAGACACTCCAATTTTATTATATGTATAGATAAATCAACAAAACTTCAGTCATGTCAATGTATTAAGGGCTAGTTGATTTTAATTTAAATTCTAATTCTAACCTCAATTTCAATTAGACTATCATAATCGTGACTTGTCACATAAATTAGAACATGTACCGATTGCCACTTCTAACTGTAAACAGCGGACGTTCCACACAATAGAATACACGACGAGTCTCCACTGTTATAAGACTTGTATATAACAGTATTGCCATTCCTTTCATTATCTTTATAAAAGACAGAGATAGCAACTATTCACGTATACACCCATATCACGTATGCCGATCCGCCATTATTGAACGTGATTGTAAAATAGGTTATGTTGTTAAATCCGTTTGAATCTGTTTTTGTTTAATTGTTTTTTGAGCATTGTTTTTGTTTTATTAAACAGTTTTATTTGTACTATAAATGTGTGTATTTATTTTTGATCAATAATATTTTTTTATTTAACAATCGTTATTGTTTTGGAAGTTTATAACGTAACTACCTTTCGGCCACGACACAGTTCGCGTGGTTTAAAAAAACAAAAATGAGAACACATAGGCTATGTGTTCTTCCAGACTGTCCTCACGATCTATAACAAATGTCATCTAAATCCGTTCAGCAGTTTAGGCTACAAATTCTAAGAAGCATCCATCTATCTATCTAAACTTTCGCATTTATAATGAAGAATAATATACAAACAAAACATCATTTTCGTTCCGAAATTGAAGATAAGAGGGTCGTCGGATAGTTTTGGCGTCTTACAAACCCTTTATTATGACACACCTAATGGCGTTTTGATCGGCAAAGGTGTTATTGACAACAAAGGAAGTGTCAATCTATTGATTACCGTGTGAACATGGTTAATGTTTTTCAAATGATTACTCCTACTGTATTACTACAAAAAATACGTGTTATATTATGGACGTCAACAATGGCTTTTGGTATAAGTACTATATTACTATCGTTATTTGACACTATTTCGATAAGAAGTATTGAGGATTTCTCTCTTGCAATACTTGAAGGTCTTTACAATTAGACAATCAAGTTAATTGATGTTCAATTGTACGGATGCTGTTTACACGTTCTTTACTAATCCCTTGGAATGAAACATCTAACAATAGAATAAACACAATAAAAAAACAAACCACACAAGAATCAAAGAATAAATATTATAAATGCGAAAGTATGGATGGATGTTTGTTAGAGTTTATAGCCTAAACCAATAACCGGATCTCGTTTAAATTTGGCATACATGTAGAGGAGAGTCTGGAAGAACACATAGGCTACTTACTTTTGTTTTTATTTAATTCCACGCGGACAGAGTCGCGGGAGAAAGCTAGTAAAAGAATAAGTAAACACTTGAAACACCATTGATGTAATTCTGTAGCTCTTAATATCGAAAAGATATTTCAGAAACAGAATATTACCAACTATTTCTAGCCGTAAGCAAGAATATTACCACTATAGTATATTAAATAATATACTAATAAAGCCTTACCTTTTGTTTTAAAATATAAACCTACATGTGTAGTTAAAATTCATTTATACGCAAGGATATAATGTCAGTAGTAAAAGAGCTACAGTAATTGTAA